TCTCTCTCTCTCTCTCTCTCTCTCTCTCTCTCTCTCTCTCAATCACGGAAGCTTACGCGAGAAAAAAAACTAACCATCCTCATAAAAAACGAAACCCCCTTGCTCTCTGCTGCTACGCCCCTGGGGGCCCTTGTTGTGTATTGTTCAATTTGTACGTCGCTCTATCTTTTTTACATACGTATATCACCTGGGCATATATACACGTACGTGTACGGGGTTTGCATATTGTGTACGGAATTTTTGGACATTAATTACACGTTGTGAGGCGTCGTTGTGGCTTACCAAACTGTCTTTCTCTCTTCACGTAATACGACTACTATTTTTACTTTTCTTTTGCTCTTGTGTTCCTTGTTCGTTTTTCTTACATATATATATATATATATATATATATGTATGTATGTATGTATGTGTGTGTATATATATTTTTTGTGTTTTTAAAAATGTTTAATATTTTGTGTACGTAACATTACGTGTCAAGCCTTTTTTTTGTTGGTCAATTTCTCTGTGCTCTCTGTCCCTGTCACGATCGTTGCTCACCCGAGGGCTCGATGGCTCACGGAGAAAAATGAAATCTCTTTCTGCTATAACTGCTACGAAAAGTATTTGCATACTTCAAGCTACTCGTTTCCAGTTTCACAAACTGCAAACAAACATTCCGTTGAAAGATTCCGAAAAAAGACGTGTAAGAAGCTCGTCGTGAACGTAGTAATACATATAATTTTCGTAATAATTCTCAGTTGGAGGGGAAAAGAAAGACTAGAAAGAAAGGGATGAAACTAACGTAGATATGCAAATGCTGTTGTATAACGCTTAAAGATGGCGAGTCGCTTGGCGATTACGTTACGAAGGGAAAAAAGATAAGACAGGCGTCAACTTTCCAGCAATTCTGGCAGCCGGGTCTGCAGCCAGGAACGTCACAGGATGTCAAACCGTTTTCGCAACCAGCGTATACTGGAAAACCAGCGACAGCGGTTTCAAGCGGTGACATGGTCCAGGCTCAACCACCCCCGCCCTGGGAGGGACGTGCCATCGCAACCCACAAGCTTAGGCTTGTCGAGTTCTCGGCCTACATGGAACAACAGAGAGACCAGGATATTGTAAGTAGTACTGACTAGCAGAAGCTCTGGAATAAAATGCCCGCGGATATTCAAGCTCAACCGTGTCGAAATGAATGATGATCATTTGCTTCCGCGTGGGAACACATTATATTCTATATATAAGTATACAGAAAAGTCTGAGAGAATATTAGAAATACAAAAATTGCATTTATTCCTAATCTAATTCTGTTTGCAACCGTGAATGTTCCGTTGAAATGAACACAGTATAAAGAGAACACACGGTATAAAGAGAAAAAGCTAGAGCTTGGTTAACCAGAGAGAGAGCGCCTTCTTCCACGTCGAAGCGCAAAGTATAAAAAGCTCCGGCTCTCCGTATTTAGACGGAGGAGGAGAAACTAAATTATCCCTGTTGAATTAATGGTTGGAGCAATCCAGGGATTGGTGATATCGACCGGAAGTCGCAAACATCCGGACAAACGTTCGAATTCGGTTTTTTTCGTTCTCTTTCTTTGCAGTACCACAAGCACCTGTTCGTCCACATAGGAGGATCGGCGACCTACGCGGATCCGTTGCTAGAGGCTGTTGATGTCAGGCAAATATACGACAAATTCCCAGAGAAAAAGGGCGGCCTGAAGGAACTTTACGACAAGGGACCACAGGCGGCCTTCTTCCTCGTTAAATTCTGGGCTGATCTCAATACGAACATTCAGGATGAGGCTGGAGCTTTCTACGGTGTAACAAGCCAGTATGTAATGAAACTCGATGATTAACGGATCTGCTTTTTAAAAACAGATCAAGACCTCCGATAATTTGCACGATGATTTACCAATCGAAGATCTTCCTTGAGCTTTCTCTCTTTGCGCCTTATTGTGTGCGTGGAAACAGAGAAAAGAGGGGAAAGATTCTTTAATATTAATTACTATAAATCAATCGGTATGACCTTTCACACTGACGAGACTGTTTCTTCTTCTTCTTTCTTTCTTTTACAGATACGAGAGCAACGAGAACATGACGATAACGTGTTCGACCAAAGTTTGCTCTTTCGGGAAACAGGTGGTGGAAAAAGTGGAGACGGAATACGCTAGGTTCGAGAATGGCAGGTTCGTCTACCGTATTAGCCGTTCACCTATGTGCGAATATATGATCAACTTTATACATAAATTGAAGCACCTGCCGGAAAAGTACATGATGAACAGCGTTCTCGAGAATTTCACCATTCTCCAGGTACGACGTACAATTTCGTATAGAAAGTTTTTCTAAAAGCCGACAATTTCAATAAGTTAGTCTCTCTCTCTCTCTCTCTCTCTCTCTCTCTCTCTCTCTCTGTGCAGCAGACATCCTAGAAATACCTAAATACCTAGATAAAACGACTACTTATTATTTTTTCATTTCGAACGACAGGTTGTAACGAACAGGGATACGCAGGAAACGTTATTGTGCACAGCGTACGTGTTTGAAGTGTCGACGTCCGAGCACGGTGCACAGCATCACATATACAGATTGATCAAGGATTAGCCTGTTTGAACCTGCTCGTCAT